ACACAGCGGAGGGGACCCGACTGGTGGGAAGCAGGGCTGTCCTGCACACGGTCCCAGCAGAGCGCACAGGCGAGTCCTGCCTTGTGGATTCCATCCCGCTCCGGCCCCCTCTGTCCTCCTACTGCATAGTTGTGTACTGCCTGGCTGATAGACACGCTCACGCAGCATGAGCACATCTACCAGCCAGGCAGTTCACAGCTACGGACCGATACACCTAATAATAATAATAAAACTTACCTAATTAGAAAATCCGGTATTTTCTCAGTTTTTTTCCCAGACAGAACCCTCAAATACTGGACTGTCCAGTACAAAACTGGACACCTGGCAACCCTTCCCCTCTTTGCACCTTCCCTCCTAGCCAGATACCCTACCCCCAGTCTGCTCCTGCTCCTGCCTCCTGGAGTGCCCGTGTGGCGCCGGGTCCCCTAAGCCCTGGCCCAGCTGGGTGAAACACTGAAAATTTATTCATTTTTAATTCTTTTATATGCATTTATATTTTTGGGCTGCAAAACAGTACTGAAAAAAAAAACAGGTTCCAACTAAAGTAAAAAGTTTTGGAAACCCTGATTTAGCCAGCTTTCTATCCATCTTACAGTCCATTTATCCAATCCATATTCCCTTAACTTGCTGGCACGAATATTGTGGGTGACCATATCAGAAGCTTTGCTAAAGCTGGCACTGGGGGCTTTGGGAGGACCAGAAACAACTTATTTGAATATTCATCATTTGCTAATGAATATGCAAATGAATGTTGCCAGTCCTCCAAAAGCTCGTGAAAGGATTTACTGGGCCCCGTGTCAAAAAGTTTGAGAACTCCTGTATTGGAGCATAAGCTTTTGTGGGCAAAGACCCACTTCGTCAGATGCAGATTTTTGCATATTCAGACTAACACGGCTCCCTCTCTGATACATTTTTACCATGTTGTTAATATAGACAGTGCTAATTGAGATCATGAATCTCTTCATTATCTGTAAAGAGAATCAACATTGCTAGTGGGTCTTAGATTGTTGGAGAGTTCTGCTGCATTTGCTGTGTTGGATCATGAGAAGTTAATTGAAATAGAGATAAGAAATACATACACTTGCTGAGTTACACTGAACTGATCACAGATTCTGTTTTGATTCACATGATTCTTTGCTTTGCAAGCATCATTAGTAGTGATCCAGGACTTAATATTCATTCATTCATTAACACTGTGTCTTTTTTAGATTAAATGAAGTGAATACACATGGTAAACTTTTGTTATACAGATCACACTCATCATACCTAGTAGTTGTTCCACTGTTGTTTTATTAGCTTTTTTGATGATGCAGCAACAGGAATATAAGTAAGCTGTAAAATTAATTGCTACCATATCCAAACAATTCATTACTGTATATCCTAATGCTGTTAATAATCAATGGTGTCTTTAATAGTTCCTTCAACATTTCTCAAAAATACAATTTGTACTTGAAAACTGTGCAGGCAAATGAAATGTGGTTGTAAGATACTGAATGGAGCCATGCAGTTATTGTAAGTTTGGATAGTATTGGTTCTTGAAATACCAGAATCCCTGTTTAACTATTTTTTTGTTTGTTCAAGGCGCACAGAAGACATGTCTATACCTTTTAAAGTTCTAAGTTACCTTACATTCCAAAAATACAGCAGCGAGGTTCTTACAATCAATGAATTTTATGGATTAAACTTCACATGTGGTAAGTGTTCATTGAGCCCCCTTAAACCTTTTGTAAATCAATTTAATACACTATATAGGCTGCGTCTAGACTGGCAAGTTTTTCTGCAAAAGCGGCCACTTTTGCAGAAAAACTTGCCAGCTGTCTACACTGGCCGCTTGAATTTGCGCAAGAACACTGACGATCTAATGTAATATTGTCAGTGTTCTTGCTCAAATATTATGATGCTCCCACTCAGGAAAAAGCCCTCTTGCGCAAATGCTTTTGTGCAAGAGGGCCAATGTAGACAGGTAATAACTGTTTTGCGCAAAAAAGTCCCAATGGTGAAAATGGTGACCGGGCTTTCTTGCGCAAAACCGCGTCTAGATTGGCACGGACGCTTTTCCGCAAAAAGTGCTTTTGCACAAAAGCATCCCTGCCAATCTAGACGCTCTTTTCCGCGAATGCTTTTAATGGAAAAACTTTTCCATTAAAAGCATTTGCGGAAAATCATGCCAGTCTAGATGTAGCCTATGGTTATGTCTACACTGGCAGATTCTTACACAAGAACTGTTTTGCGGAAGAGTTCTTGCGCAAAAAGTCTTCCACAAGAGTGCATCTACACTGGCATGTGCTTTTGCGCAAGAGCATCTATGGCAGTGTGGACGCTCTCTTACGCAAGAAAGCTCTGATGGCCATTTTATCCATAGGGGTTTCTTGCACAAGAAATTCATGTTGTCTGTTTACACTGGCCTCTTGCACAAGAGCTCTTGTGCAAGAGGCCAGTGTAAACAGACAACATGAATTTCTTGTGCAAGAAACCCCTACACGTAGACACCAAGCAAGTTTTTGCGCAAGAACAGCTGTTCTTGCACAAGAAGCCACCAGTGTAGATGTAGCCTATGTGTATTTTTTATACACATGCTAACAAAAAATACATGCCTACAACCTTTCTAAGCACCTTATATAACTTGTAAATACAACATAATTAATAACTACAGGTTGAACTGCCCAAATCCAGGACTCTCTGGTCTGGAAACATCCGTGGTCTGGCAGGGCCAGGGATGTTACTGGACCAAAGAGCCCTGGAGCAACGCAGGGGCTGGGGAGCCCCAGCTGGGCCAGACAGCATCTAGGGAGCCCCCGCCCTGGTCCTGAACCCCCAGCATCAATTGGGCCAGGCAGCAGTTGGGGAGCCCCAGCTTGGGCCAGGGAATCCCCGGCATCAGCAGGGCCAGGAGGTAGCCTGGGAGTTCCTACTCAGATTAGGGAACCCCCAGCGTTAGCAGGGCCACATGGTTGGGGAGTCGGGGCCACAACCAGGGAGCCTCTGGCTGCAGCTGGGCTGCCTATGGCTGGGTGGCCCCACCCAGGAACTCCCCAGTCCCAGAAGGGCTGGGATGACCCCCCAGCTGAAGTGGGGCTGGCAGAGGCGGACAGCAGCAGAGAAGCCCCAGCAGTGGGGCATGGTGACCTAGCGGCCCTGCCTGGGGAATGGGCAGTGGGCAGGCAGCAAGTTGGGGAGCCATGGCGGGCCAGCTTTAGCGGGGCTAGCAGCAGGTCAGCGAGCCCTAGGGAGAGGAGCCCAGGAGTGGGGCAACCAGCAGGTCTGGCAAACTCCCTGGCTTAGGACAGCTCAGGTCCCGAGAATGCGAGACTAGGGAGGTCCAACCTGTAATGTGATGTCAGGCTGGCCAGCTGCAAGAGGGTGTTGCTTCCAGGTTCCAGGGAAGTAGGTTAAAGGCCCTCTTCCCTATCAGCTGAAAAGGAGTTACATCAGGTCTATTAGGATCAGCTGAGATGGGGTTACTAGAGGTTAATTAGGATCAGCTGAGAAGGGGTTGCCTCAGGTCAATTAGGAACACCTGAATCCAGGTGAGGGCTGTCTGAGACCTTCTGAAGGCTCTTCCCCTTTTGAGAGACAGAGAAAGGGAGACAATTTGCTACTAGACTAGTGGCAGCAGGGGAGTAAGCATATCCAGGAGGAGAGGTTGTGTGCCTTCCCATAGTGGAAACAGACAAGCCCGAGCACCTGCTGGGAAAGGACTGACTCCCCGGGGCAAACCACAGGACAATACCTTCCCCTGCCTCTTCACTGGGGCAATGAATCTCTTGTATTTGAGTCCATTGAAGTCGTTCCTTTTGTTTGCAGGAGAATTACCCCTTAGGCCTACCTTGAGGCTTACTCAGAAAATATGGCCAAAAGAGGGAGGACAAAAACTGCCCAGTGTGGCAGATAGGGGTTAATTTACCCCAAGGCTATCTTGCCAAAGGGAGATGTGCTGGGGCTGGTGAGACAAAGGAAGTGCCTTGCCATACGAAAAATAATAATTCATTATAAGACAGTATAAAAACTTATTATAACCTGATACCAGCTAACTACACCACTCCAAAGCTTCAATCTCCTCTGTTCCCAAGCATTTTAAAAGATGAGACTTGCAGGAGGCTTTTAAGGCCATACAATTTGTGCTATTTTGGAGCAGGTAGAGGAACCCAGTACAAAATTGGGGGCCTCTGGAGATAATGCACTGGCAGCTGCGATTTCTTGTTGATATCCCTGAAGCAACAGCTTGGGAACTTCTGCTGTCAGGCAGACAGCCCCAATGCTGTTAAGGAGGATGAAAGGTTCAGGGAAGGAGAACATTCAACTGGAGCAGAGGGAAATGATCCTATAGTTGGGACCCTCCTTCCAGAGGATGTTATGGTATCCTCTCACACTGAGGATACATCTCCAGTCGTTAGGAAAAGGAAGGTGTTAGCAATGGGGGATTTGGTCATTAGAAGCATAGATAGCTGGGTTTGTGATGACCAGGAGAATTGGATGGTGACTTGCCTGCCTGGTGAGAAGGTTGTGGCTCTCTCAAGACATCTAGACAGACTAATGTGTAGTGCTGGGGAAGAGCCAGTGGCCATGGTACACATAGGTACCAACGACATAGGGAAGGGTAGGAGAGAGGTTCTGGAGGCCAAATTTAGGCTGCTAGGAAAGAGACTGAAATCCAGGACCTCTACGGTAGCATCCTCTGAAATGCTTTCAGTTCCACGCGCAGGGCCAGATAGGCAGGCAGAGTTTCAGAGTCTCGATGCATGGATGAGACAATGATGTAGAGAGGAGGGGTTTAGATTTATTAGGAACTGGGGAAAATTTTGGGGTAGAGGGAGCCTATGCAGGAAGGATGGGCTCCACCTAAACCAAAATGGAACCAGACTGCTGGCACTTAACACTAAAAAGGCTGTAGAGCAGTTTTTAAACTAAGGGCTGGGGGAAACCTATTGTTGAGCAAAGGAGCACATGGATCGGACAGAGACATCTATTAAGGGAGGTTCTATTCATTGAGATGCTCTATGTTCTAGTTAGGAGGAGAAGATGAAAGTATGGGTCAGATCAGATGAGACACAATCAAATGAAAAAGAGTCTAACACATCAAGAAATGGCAGATAGATCAATAGTGACAAATTATTAAAGTGCTAATACACAAATGCTCGAAGTTTAAACAGTAAAATGGGTGAACTAGAGTGCCTAGTTTTAAAGGAGGATATTGATATAATAGGCATCATGGAAACTTGGTGGAATGAGGACAATCAATAGGACACAGTTATACCAGGATACAAAATATACTGGAAGGACAGAACAAGTCGTGCTGGTGGGTGAGTGGCACTATACGTCAAAGAAAATGTAGACTCAAATGAAGTAAAAATCTTAAATGAGCCAAAATGTTCCATAGAATCTCTATGGATAGTAATTCCATGCTCCAATAATAAGAATATAGCAGTAGGAATATATTATTGACCATCTGATTAGGACAGTGATAGTGACTATAAAATGCTAAAGGAGATTAGAGAGACTATCAAATTAAAAAACTAGATAATAGTGGGGGATTTCAACTATCCCCATATTGACTGTGTACACATCACCTCAGGATGTGATGCAGAGAGAAAATTTCTTGATACCTTAAATAACTGCCTCTTGGAGCAACTGTTTCTGGAGCCCACAAGGGGAGAGGCTGTTCTTGATTTAGTCCTAAGTGGAGCACAGGATCTGGTTCAAGAGGTAAATATAACTCGACCGCTTAGAAATAGTGACCATAATATAATAAAATGTAACATTCCTGTGGTGAGAGAAACACCTCGGGCAGCCCAACACTGTGGTATTTAATTTCAGAAAGGGGAACTACATAAAAACGAGGAAGTTAGTTAAACAGAAATTAAAAGGTAAAGTGACATAAGTAAAATCTCTGCAAGCTGCATGGAAACTTTTCAAAGACACAAAAATAGAGGCCCAACTTAAATGTATATCCCAAATTAAAAAACACAGTAAGAGAACCAAAAAAAGTGCTACTTAACAGCCCCATAAAAGAAGCAGTGATAGATAAAAAGATATCTTTTAAAAAGTGGAAGTCAAATCCTAATGAGGAAAATAGAAAGGAAGATAAACTTTGTTAAAATAAGTGTAAAAATATAAGAAAAGCCAAAAAGGAGTTTGAAGAACAGCTAGCCAAAAACTCAAAAAGCAATAGTAAAATGTTTAAGTATATCAGAAGCAGGACGCTGGCTAAACAACTAGTGGGGCCCTTGCACGATCAAGATGCTAAAGGAGTACTCAAAGATGTTGTGTTCCCTCCCTCTGGGGCATCTGGTATTGGCCACTGTCAGCAGACAGGATACTGGGCTAGATGGACCTTTGGTCTGGCCCAGTATGGCCGTTCTTATGTTTAAATTAATCATTTTTTTTTATAGTGATTGTTTTGGCTATGGATTTTTCAAAATGTTCTCTAGGCAGCTTGGCTCCACTTCTAAGGCCTAAGATTCTTCAATGTTGTCCAGGGGGAGCCTCTCTCAGTACCACTTCCTCCTTGTGCGGAGGAAGGAAGGTACATCCAGCTTCAGCAATTATCTCCTTGGACTTTCTCTACACTATTCTCTAGGCACCAAAGAACATCACCCTACACTTAACTGGTTTCCCTTGCTTCCTGACTGTAAGTTCTAGTTCCTTAATGCTCTATAGCCTGGCTTCATAGACAAGTGGAGAGAGTAACGCCATCCAATTAATTCATCCCTGTGAGGTAAGGCTGAGTACAAGATGCAAGTGCAGGCAGGTTCTAGTGGGGAAGGAAGACAAAACAAAAGGCTGGGCACCAGGCTACAGCAAAATGATGAATATGGTGCAAAAAAAAAAAAAAAAAAAGTCAGCTTCTGCTATTGTGGAGTTCACGAGTCCCTGAGCAAGATTAACAGGGTAGCTATTGTTGAGCTGTTTTAGACTTACTGCAAATTTCGGAAGTGCACAGTACATCAGTTTGCACACTGTTCTCATTTACACTGTTAGCTCCAACAATAAAGAAACAAACTTTTTTAAAATCAAAAACTGATTCTGGAGCAGTGTTGTGACAGCGGTGTGTGATGGGTTGTACAAACCCCATATTGGGCAATAAGGGGTTAAGAGATTACTTTGGGCTCAGCCAGCCTCCCCGTGCCCTTATTGCAAATGCTCCATCTGCTGGAGGAAGTAAAAGACTGGACAGGGAACGAGCTCATTTAGGCAGCAGAGCCTGCAGCCCACACCTCCGGCAATTCAGAGCAGCGGGAAGACTAAGGACTTGGATACAGAAGCCCAGAGGGGCCCTCCCTGAGGGAAGGGAGAACCCATCCCAGAAACAACTAGAAAGGGAAGTACCCTGTGGACCTTGGTAATCCCATTTTACTTATTTCGGTTTGACTTTCCCCACTAGGTGGGAAAAGTAGGCCATGCTCCCAACCAGACCCTGAATGAAGACCATTACAGGAGCTGAAATTTTTCAATTATGGAACACATCAGACCTTGTATATAAGCGAAAATTAACATCTTTAACATCTCCTTGAAACCTAGTCAGTCAATGCAGATCATGGCAAGAAACTATATGTTGTAAGCTGACCAACACATATGCTAACATCAGTTATGGATAGTTTTAAAATATAGTCCTATATAAAGCATACTGCAGTAATGCAACCTTGAAGTTGACAAAGGAATTCATCACAGCAATGACAATAGCTTGCACTTTTATGTGAGGATCTCCAACTATTCATAAATATGAATAAATTTAAGTCAAAAAAACTTCCCAGTGTTTGATGACAACATATATGATCAGCCTTAAATCTTTCATTTGGTGTGAGTGAAATGCAAGATTCCAGTGGCACTTCATTCTGCTCTTCAGAAAATGTAATGTAGATTAGACACAGAAACATGCAGATTGCCCCAATTTCCATTTCCAGAACATGGTAGATTGGCTGGGATATGCACTTGGAAGATTCTGGGAAGCCAGTCAGGGAAGGAAATGTACCTGCCCAGCTATTCTGTGATCATGTCTGTACTACAGATAAGATCAAAGCAGCCACAGTCGATCTTCCAGGGTTCAAATTAGTGGGTCTAGTGAAGACACGCTAATTCAAACTGAGAGGGCACTCCTGTCAATGCTGGTAGTCCTGCTTCTTCAAGGAACAAGGGAAGTCAGAGAGCGTGTTCCCTTCAACTTCTAACAATATAGACAGCACCAAAATTCAAGTTAAGATACTTCAACTTAAGTTACACGATTATGTGTTACCTGTATGTGCTCTAGTATCAAATAGCCCCTCTAGCTCTCAGGCTTCATCTGTGAAGCACTAAGTCATTGCAGAGATGAGTTCTGAGCATACAATTATTGTACAGCCTCTGCACAGAATCTCCTGGGACAACACTAGCTTCACTATGGACAGGGCCCTCCATACCCTTAGGGGAACAAGAAGGAGTTGTGAACATATGTGTTCAATCAGGGCATTGACTGCAGTGTCTAGTCTACATGCTTTATAATATAACTCAACCCTCTTCTATTTTGCAGGTGGCTCCAATATTTCTGCAGGAGTTGGTGCATTGTGTGTTTTTCCCCAGGGTATCCAATTCATTGAGACAACCTTTCCTGGTGCAATGTCTAGATTCACAACCAATTTCTTAATGTTATATGCTTTCCTACCACTACTGGTCATTCTAGCAATTGTGAGTTTTAAAATAAGAGACATAATTGTCAGGCAATAAAATGTTAGCAATTCTAAACAGGCTGAACAGTTCTATATACCAAACCCTGAAGTATTTGAAAACATTATTGGGCAAACTAGTACCCATCATTTTGTTGTCTTTCTAAATTACAGCAAATGATGAGTGAATTACAATCAGACTGTTCATATCTTTTTCCTTTCAGTTAACAGTTTTTCCTCCTCTTGGAAGCAATACTATGAATGTATCAGTAAACCCTTAAAATATTTATGAATTAAAAATACCCAAATGTGTACTTCATAAACTGAAATAGTGACGAGGAGTCCTGTAGCAAACAAATCTGATATTAGGAATGGCAACATACAAAAACCTGTAGGAGAACACTTCAATCTTCCTGGACACACAATTGCAGATCTAAAAGTAGCCATCCTGCAGCAAAAAAACTTCAGGACCAGACTTCAAAGAGAAACTGCTGAGCTACAGTTCATCTTTAAGTTTGACACAATCAACTCTGGATTAAACAAAGACTGTGAATGGCTTGCTAACTACAAAAGCAGCTTCTGCTCTCTTGGAATTCACACCTCCACATCAGCTGCTAGAAGTGGGCCTCATCCTCCTTGATTGGATCCACCTCGTCATCTCCAGCCTGATCCTGGCCTGCATATTTATTCCTGCCTCTGGAAATTTCCACTACATGCATCTGACGAAGTGGGTCTTTGCCCACGAAAGCTTATGCTCCTACACTTCAGTTAGTCTATAAGGTGCCACAGGACTCCTCGTCGCTTTTGCAGATTCAGACTAACACGGCTACCCCTCTGATAAACTGAAATGTTTAGTTTTAACATATTATAAGAACCCTTAATAAAGAGGTGTAGTCACAGGAACAAATGTAATTGGGATTATTCTTGCAAGTTTGATGACCGGGAGCACAGCAATCTTTCTTCTAACAGCTGCACCTACCCCTTGGTCTCCAGAAGATAACTTTGATATTTCTAAGCTTAATGTAATAGACATGGTAACTCAGTTGTGTCTTAGAACTTCACTTTCTTCGGTCTTCAAATAATTAATGAAAAAAATAAAACTAAGATATTATAAAATTTGCACAGGTGAGCATGTATTAAAGTGAATATTTGTGACTCTGTATGCAAGTCTGAGCTCAGAAACTGTAAAATTGCTCAGCTATTGTGACAAAATACATTACATGTAATAAACTATGATATTCAGAGATGGAAAAAATTATGTTAGATCATTCTGCCCACCCCCTTTTTAGTTCAGAATAGTTCACTAAGGAACTTCCTTATGTGCTGTGCCCAGTAGGTTGTTCAACTGTTCATTTTTGTGATAAGATGACATACCTCTCATGACCCAACTTTTGTCTCAGTACCTCAATCCTCTATTCCTTGGTTCTCAAAATATTTCATCCTGCTGATGGACAAAAGGCTGAGCTTCACTGATATAGACTAAGTTTGACTAGCTCCACCAGTACTACTTCAATTTTTTCAAATTTCACTAGAAGACTGATATTAAATATAAGGAATAATTTTCTAACATTAATCTAAATTCCCTTTGTATTAAAGCACACAAATAGCCCACCTTTTTATATGGAGGAGTGGGAACTTACAGAATGTCATGCCTTTACTAGATTAGTCTGTTATGGTTTTCAAGTTTAATGCTCTCTCACTTCCAGGATGTGTAGTAGAATGGTTCTCGCAGTCCAGAAATCACTCTTATTGGTGAGCAGGGGTCATAGCCTGTTTCTATTCTATTTCTATTAGAATTCCAGTTTGGGAATGTTCTCCCATACACTATTAACAGAACCTGGTTTTAACCACATTGTCAGGCAGTTTGTGTGAAAGTTTCTCACTGTATAGTACTTATCAGTTAATGGATTAATTAGTACCTAAAATATGTATCAGCAAAATGGGAAACACATGACTCTTTGTACATTATATTTTGAGTACACAGGTACTTTTGTGCCTTAAATACATATTTTATGAAGAAATGTAAAAAACCAAAACAAAACATGGCTTTGAGTACTGTTTTTCATATTTAAACCCATCTATATGAATAATCCTTTAAAAATTTTCCCAAAATCTCCCTGAGCTGGATGAGCCAGGATTATTTTCTCAATAGAAAATACTTTAAAATTCACATGATGGTACAAGAATTTAACTATTAATTTATAACAAAGTCACATACTTTAATAATAGATGCAATCATACTATATAAACTCTTTATTCATGCTATATTATTAATCTAGTTACATATTTTTCCAGTTGTACAAAACACCAGTTTCAATTACTTTGTATAATACTCAAAATTATGATTTACCTTAATATATACAAAATATATAATTAAAATCTATATACAAAATACAGAATTAAAATTGATATACAAAACATACAATTAAAATTAGTGTGAGAGCTAACCACTTATCTCCATCAAGATTCAAAGTCCATTTCTTTCCAGGATTTAGAGGAATTTCTCTTATACTGTTCTAGTTCCTAAAAAACAAACACATAGCCAAACATTTAGCATAGCATCCCCAGTAAAATAATAAAATGCATACATCTGTAACATTCTATTGCACATGTAGGTTAAGGTTTCTAGCTATGTTTCTAAATCATACATATCAAATTTCAAAATAGTACAGGAAGAAATTTGATTATATCGTATTAAAATTAGAGCTCTAAATGTGATTTCCTTGCCTGGCTATTCACTTGCTAGGCCAAGCCCCAAGTTTGACGCACTGTGGAGACATGGAAACTTGCAGCTATATACTGAATATACTTTAATGTGATTAATTTGTTTGTGGCTCAGATCTCTAGATTATAATAGCAGAAATTGTTTCTGAGGCAGTTGGGCCAAATGCAGGACTTTATCCTGTACACAGGTCATGACTTGGAATGGACACTGTCCATGAGAATCCTCTGGTGAAAGGAAGCCATTTCACAGAGATTACCTTAACACAATTGAATTAAGCCCTTCATAGACCCTAAAGCACTTGAATGGGGAAGGGTGACATGGAGTTTGCACACATGAGTGTGAAAGACCAACTTAGTCACTAAACAGTAGACCCACTCTGTTACCCATGCTAATACATCAGGATCATTTACAAAGCTGAAGCTTCACAGGGAAAGTGCATTTCTTCCAAATCAAGCCACTGGCCCTTTTGTATAAGATGTTCTGTTAAGGCATGTCTACACTACAGAGTTACTTCAAAATAACTCCTGTTATTTCTAAATAACAAGGTGATCACATCCACACAGCAAGCCTGTTATTTCAAAATTATTTTGAAATAATGGGCTTGTTATTTCAAAATAGGGTGAGTGTGGACAATCAGCTGTACTTATTTCAAAATAATTGGTCTCCAGAGCTTCTCATTGCTGCCCTAGTGGACACGCTGTTCACACCCTTCAAAACTCAAAGGCTACATCTATACTGCACTCTCTTGCACAAGAAAATATACAAATGAGGCAAAGTGGTGACTATCACGGCACCTCATTTGCATATGTAATGAGCCACCATTTTGCGCAAGGGGCTTTTGCACAAAAAGGAACCGTCTACACAGCTCCTTTTTGTGCAAAAAAACCCCCCTCTTGCGCAAGAGCCATCCTGCCTGAAAAAAAAGAGGAAGAATGGCTCTTACGCAAGAGGGGGTTTTGTACAAAAAGGAGCCATGTAGACAGCTCCTTTTTGCGCAAAAGCCCCTTGCACAAAAATGGCAGTTCATTAAATACGCAAATGAGGCACAGCCCTATTCACGGCTTCGTCTCATTTGCATATTTTCTTGCGCAAGTGAGTGCAGTATAGACATAGCCTAAAGTTTCCCTTCTGCAGGCTTTAAAGCTGCAGACAGAAGGGAAAGGGATTGTGGCACCACACTGGCCCCGCTAGCCCTGTACCACACAGCACCCTTTGTTGGTGCCCTGGCAGACCCCAGTGCTCCCTCTGCATCCCCCGCCCCACAGCTGCAAGCAAGCCTACAGCCACCTCTGAAGCCCTTGTTGAGGGCATCGCTGTGGACTGGTGCGGAGATCCTGGATCTCATTGAAGTCTGTGGGGAGGAGACCAACTGCCAGGGAGCTCCATACCAAGAGGAGAAAAGTGAAGTCTATGGCTGGTAGGCCACCTTCCTGGCCCAGGAGGGGCAAAGCTGGACCAGGTCTGTAGGAAAATTAAGGCGCCCAAAGGCCAGGGAGCAAAGTTCACACTCTAGGGCGGCACCCCAGACCTGCTGGTATTACCAGTGGGGAGGAGACCAACTGCCAGGGAGCTCCATACCAAGAGGAGAAAAGTGAAGTCTATGGCTGGTAGGCCACCTTCCTGGCCCAGGAGGGGCAAAGCTGGACCAGGTCTGTAGGAAAATTAAGGCGCCCAAAGGCCAGGGAGCAAAGTTCACACTCTAGGGCGGCACCCCAGACCTGCTGGTATTACCAGCATCTGAATGCCATCCTGGGAGGGTGGAAAGTCACCTTTCTTTCCCCCCTCCCTCCATCGTGGACTCCGGCCTGGCCACACCTGTTGTCAGCCTCCATGAGGGCGGAGCTGTGGAAGAGGGAGAGGAGGACAACAACAAGGAGGATGACGAGGAGATCAGCCTGGACACCATGCCTGCCAGCCAGGAGGTGGTCATCTCCCTGTAGCTGGTCCCCCCCACCCCCGACCCAGGATGTGTCTCAGGGCTCGGATGAGGCTGGAGCAGGCACTTCAGGAGAGTTCCATTGCTTTCCCTAGACACATGCCAGGGGAGGTGGCGGGCTGTGCACTCCTTGCTTGGCCCTCTGGCCTCGGGGGGGTCGCACAACAGCCTGTGCAAGTGGGTGCAGATGGAGTGCCAGTCCAGAGCATTGAACCCTATGGGGCTGTCACTCAAGAACCTTTTGCTCCTTCTCATAAGATTCCTGCACAGGCCTGCCTTACTCCTGACTCTGTGGTGGGACACCTTCCCACCACAAGCTACCACTAAGGAAGCTGGGGTCAGGGAAATGCACAGCAGTGCTGCACATGGCACACAGTCATGCTCACATTCTCTGGCAGCATCTGCTCCCGGTCAAGCAAGCGAGACAGAGGACACCAATCCCCATATGGGAACCTGCTGTGGAAGGAAGAGGAGAGGACCCCAGTACCACTTTCCCTGGAAAGCAGCATCTGATACTCACACACATATCCCGCAATACCTTCCCCTCTCTCCTCTAGCAAGCAGTTCCCTCTCTGTGGGACGCTGCCA